TCACTAGCTGACTTCTGCATGATCCATTTCTTGTCAATGTGCTCAATGGCTGGCACTTTTCATGATGGCTTCGACTTTTTTCTTCATATTTCAACTTCAATATTTCAGATTCTGAATCAGTAATGTCTATGTGTTGTTATATGTGTATCTATGTACTCTAAATCAATAATCAGTAAATAATGGTGGAAATGTTAGGTTTTTTATCTTTAACAGTTCTGTGGATATCGTTGTTCAAATAGCCACAAATTTCTCTGAGCAAACGAAAACACAAATAAATTTTTAAAATGAATAGTTAATGAAAAAAAAAACATTGAGATTGGGGAAGCTGCAGATCCTGATTACATTATTATTATTATTATTATTATTATTATTATTATTATTATACACAATAACACATACCATAAAAATTCTAATCATGAAAACTATTTATATTTTATAGACCTTAATACTATATAACAATATTTTAACGCCTTAGTGTAATATTTGTTTATCTAATCTGAGGGCACAGTTCTGATATCAAGTGTGACCAGCAGAATGTGGTGCCGCCTGTCTCCGCTGATCTCATTGGTCAAACGCTGCCTGCAAGCAGAGCGCCGTCGTCATTGGTCAGACGATGTTCCGACTCTGCTGTCATTGGTCAATCCGCCGGTGACACGGAGTGGGAGGTTCCCGGAAAAATCTCTAACCGGAAGGGAAGGCCAGAGCCCAAGAAGAAGAAGAAGGAGAAGAAGAAGAAGAAGAGCCGCCGATGAGCGCAGCGAAAGAAGAAAAAGTAATGTAAGTCAAACAAGTTCAAATAATCAAATACGAGGCTTGGGAGGAACGTTGAAGGAACGTTGGAGGTTTTGTCGTCAAGCTGTTTCACCGTAGTTTCACCTCCTCTGGCTAATTTCGCTCAGCGAAGTCCGAGCCGAAATGTCCATCAGACTGGGAAGCTTCGAGCACTGTGGGACCACATAGTCAGAAAATGTCCAAAAAGCCGCTGGCCGTTTCTCAATATGCGTACATGTCCGTACTTGCGTCCCTGTGTATTGAGAAACGACAGTGAGCTCGGGTGTTTCACAGAATCTGCCGGCGTCGTTTCATTCCGGTAAAAGACACGATAATAAGTCCGAGTGTCGGAGTTTGTCAAATGTCCAACAGCTGACGACGGAGCGGCCGACTGAGGGAAAGTTGTCTAATGACGTTTCGACACTTGGCTGTAGCTGCTAACGTTGCTAACGCTACCACAAGTCAAGTTTCCCTTTTCGGCGGCGCGGCGTTAGTATTTTTAATGTCATTGTACGATAGCAAGCTAGTGCTAATGCTAGGTACACCGCCAGGTTTCTAGTTAACGTTGTGTAGCCGGTGTTCATTTTGTTAGCCAACTGCTAGGTACAACTTACAAGTCAGTGTTATGTCGGCTAAGTTAATGATAGCAGCTCCTTTACATAAATAGCTATCATACATTTTTAGCTAACATGCACAGATAAAATGTTGTTAGCTAAGAAGGTGATAGGATGTTTTTATAGAGCAGCAAACTTCTCCACTGTGTTATGAGTTAGCTAAGTTAGCCTACCATTCTGCTAAAGCAAGACCCAGTCAGGTAGAACTTTGTACCAGCCTAAATCAAATCAAGTTTATTTATACAGCACGTTTAAAACAACGTGAGTTGGCCAAAGTGCTGTAAAGTAGAGCTGTAAAGTAAAAAAAACAAGACAGGACGTGGAAAATGAAGGCGTAAAACAATATAAAAATAGTATAATAGATTACAACAAAGGTTAACAGGATGGAGACGTATGAGATCAATTTGCTAATTATAATAAAATGTAAAAATAACCACAAAGAGAAACCAACAGGCATTGAAAACATGCATGTCTTAGAAATGGGATATTGGTTGAAGCTTAATTGGATCTGATTCAGAATTGGGTGATATAGTAGAAAGGTTTATGATGGTAAAATGTTTATTTTCAGCCAGTATTAATAAGTATAGGCAGTTTTTAATGGATTTTTAAAATGAATTTGATTGTAGCCACTTTAGTCTATTTACCAAGGTGCACAGGAAATATTTTTTATGAAGGACAATGAAAAACACATTCTGTAAATAATGATGAAATATATAAAAATAGAAAGCATTAGTAAGGAAAGCATGGAGGTGCACACAGGGTGACCAGGGTGAAGCTTCTGCACCTTGCTGAGGTTTGAGTGGCGGACCAGCAGCAGCAGCAGCTGTCACTGGACGTTGACCCTGATGTCAGGTTTAGGTGGAGGTGGTAGGATACAGGCTTGTTGGCGTATTTTAGACACCCTTCTTGCAAAGGCAACTGCTGGTCCTCACTGGCTGCAGCCTCCACCAGAGGATCTTGCAGCCGTGGATGGAGATGACAAGAGGCCCAGGTAGCTGCAAACAAGCCCACCTAAGCAGCTCACCTGCATGAAAGTCTCAGGAGTTCAAGGCAAAGGGGGCTTCATTGTCAAGATTTGTTCATGCAAACAAACTCTACTTTAATGGTGGTTTACATCTAGTTTAAGTGAAGCTGTCAAACAATTTCCCTTTTGCTGTTGATGAAGTGTTTATCGCGTTATCTCATTATTGTTTTATTGCCTAGGTCTAATCTCTACTGTCTTAACATTTGAGGACATGTACTAAAGTTAATTGGTTAGAACATTGCAATCCTCTGTTTATTCTGTCGGTTAAGTATTTAATAATGGAGCTGCAATTGGTATGAGTGTGTATCATAGTGTGAGAGTAACTTTTTAAGAAAGAAAAAAGTCAAAACTCTCTTATAGCAGCTCCTTAAATGTGAATATTTTATCGTTTTCTTTCTTCTTCCTGTAACAACAAACTGAAAACATTTAAAGACATCATTATGAGCTTTGTGAAACACTGATTGACATTTTCCACTTTTTTTTTTTTTTTTTTTTACAATTTGTAGACCAAACAATTATAAATAAAAGGAGAAAATGATCGACATGTTAATCTGTGATGAAGATTGCATTCCTATTTATCTATTAATTTCATATTTGAGTTTCCATTTGCGTCACAGATGCTTAAGAGGTTTGTTTTCAGTAGACACACTTTGCAGGAAGACTACTTTGTCATATTCTAATGGCTGTAACATTTTTGCCGCACATTAATCCACATGTTTGCCCGGCAGCTGTAAACCAGGAACTCACCTGTGATAGTGATCATGTTTCACAGTTGTACTCGGAGGCCAGTAAATGCCAACATACTTTTAGCTGTGCCATCACCTCGTAAAAGTGTCAGTACTGCTGACAGGATTTGTGTTGTAATTTTTGCACGTTTGCAGAGGGTATTGTGTGCCTGCACGTGTGTGTCCTCACAATTTAACGGCAAATATGTTCACAGATGTTCATTGCTTTCGTTTATGGCTTAACAAGGGTGGCAGAGCTTGGACCTTTGAGACAGCTCTTTTTGTGTTTATGGTGTTTGGACTTTGTCCCTCTGAAGTGGCCACCCATCTTGACAAACCTGCCCCAAAGAAAGTAGAGCTGTGAATTCATCCCCAACCAGCACACATAATATTTGTGTTTTGGGTCTGCCTTTTCTTTCTCAGGCTATAGTTCAGCATTGTCTAAAGCTGTGGGTTGCAACAACTCAACTTACAGTGAGGCGTAGTGGTGTATTTTAATGTCCTCAAATGTATTATGGTTTGAGTATTAGAGCTGTGGTGTGGTGTAATTGATCAGTTGTCAACTTTTTAATGAATCTGCAACAATTAAGATCATGTGTGTGATTTTTTCTTAAGCAAAAAAGACAAAATTCTCAGATTCCAGCATCTTAAACATGAATAATTTTGTGTTTTTGTTCCTCCTCTGTGACAGTAAACTGAATATGTTTGGGTTGTGGAAAAAAATCAGACATTTCACAACATCGTGCTGTTCTTTAGGAAGCTCTGATTGGTATTTTTCATTTTTTAGACCAAGCCACTACTCGATTTATCCACAATCTCTCTGACAGTTTTATTGACAGCCATACTGAGGATATGTCTTTAAGCTGTTTGGTGTTGATCTGCAATCGTCTACAACCTCAATTTTTTTATAGGTGCAGAAAGAAGCAAATATTTCAGCTCATTATTTTATAATTCAAGTCTGTCATTTATACAGCACATTTAAAGCAAACTGAATTAAGCTAGCAAGTGTCAGTATTGAACTTAATACCCTGCAAGGTCATTTATAATGTGAAGTTACTGGATTAGAAACCTACAAACAAATATATAAAATAAAAGTTTACCTGACTAAAATAACTGTTACAGCTAAGACTCTACAATATTATGAGGATTTACCCAAATAATTAAAATATTAACACCAGGATGCTACAATATTTATTATGACGATTAACCTGATTAATGTAGAATTTAAGTTATGACCCAATAAAATATACACAAAACCCAACAAATCCAAGGATTCCCTGAAGTCCCTGGTTTTTTTTTAGTGTATTCTGTTATTTTATTTTATTTTACCAAAAACGTCTTGAAAACATAAAATGGACGAAAGTTATTTCAGTATGTATTTAGCAGCTTGGTACATTGTGAGGCCATTGTTTACTGTATGCAGACAGGTTTACATTTTCATTGCGACTCGATGCACACGTTTGATCAAATGTTTTCACCTAAACTTTTTAATATAAAGAGGAATACATTGTAGGGAGAATCTTCCTTTTTTCTTTCAAATTCTACATTCAGACAAATCTGCACAAGGCGCATTTATGTTGTGATGTGAACATACTTTGTACGTTTCTATTTTAGGTGAATGTTAGAGTCAATGGTTAGTCGACCGGGTGACTTTTGGGGATCTGGCTAACCATGATCATCGGTTTGGTCACTGAGCGTTTCACTGTCAAGAAAAGGAAGCTCCTGTGATTTATTATTGGCCTGCTCATCTCTGCGAGTGATGAGTGTCCTGTTTGCTTTTCCTGTTATGTCACCACTTTCCCATCTAAACTGTCGCCGTCTGTAAAAGCCGCTCTGAATTAGAAAGTTCAACTGTCGAAGCAGCAGCAGCAGCCTCGGATCGAGAGCTCGCAGGATTTTTCTGCTTTTGTGTCTTTGTTGTTGTCTTTGCTGGCAGTTGTAGGCTTTGAATGCTTGGTTGCTGCTACCAGACATGAGTGTTAGCATTTATATTAATTCATAACAGACAAAGGGCGAGTGGTGATGCAGCCCCTCGTATCAGATACCACCGGTTCTTCCAGGACCCCACCCTGCACATGAGCTCAGCTGCACAAGTTCCTGCTTGCTTTGCTTGTGCCGTGACACCAGCTTGTTGGACGACTTTTTCAATCGAACGAGAAGGCTGAGTTCAGATTACTGTTACATTTGCTGCTAACTGTACTGCTAATTGTTTGTTTTTCATTGCTTAGTAGCGCATGCTGGCGATTATTTTCTTGGTAAAATGTAAGAAAATGACCAAGTTGTTTGGTTTGTAACATGTCAGCAAATGTCTATTAGGGTTTCCCAAATCCCAAGATGAAGCCATGTGCAGCTTCGTTAAAAACAACATTTATACTTTTAATTCCTGAAGAGGATACAGAACGTTTGTGCCACAGCAGTTACGGACTGACCTTTCTCTGTAGTGGAATATTTAAAAATTCATCTTTATTTAGAAAGTAGGAGTCTTCAAACCACTCAGCAAACTGTAAACAGGAACTGAGAACCGATGGTTAGTTGGATGTTGAGTGTTTGACTAGTTTTTATCTGTTAGTGAGAAGTGTTACAGACTTTGTGAGGTTTTTAGTCTGCAATGTGACGTTCGGTGTAATTTCACTGTGTTTGCGG